ACCTTTATCATTTCATAGTCTATGATTTGCTCTCTAATTCATTTGAAATTTATTGTTATTTATGGTATGAGACAGGAATATAATTTAATTTTATTGCCAACAGGTAATTTATAGACATCAATCTATATAACTTCACTATTGACTAGATCAAACTTTCCCCATTCAGAATACTCCCTTGATCATGAACTCTATCATTATACGTACTTGGGTCTCACTGTGTACTCCTGATCCATTGTTTCCCAATATGCAGCCATTTGAATGCTCTCTTCATCATTTTTGTTACATTCATGTTTCATGTATTTACTTAATATTTTAGCATAATATATTTTAAAACTAAGTACCTACTTTAGCCTCACCCTAAGCACATAAAATCACAGGTTTAGCATTTTTCTAGCATACATTAACATAAGTGCTTAACTTTTGAAATGACAAATGTTTTTTATGTGCCATTTGAAATCATCATACAAACCACACGTGGAATGCAGAGACACTTCAGGGAAACACTGTTGTATTCTTTTTTCTAATGGATTTGTTCATTTCTGAGATGGAACATCATTCTAGCTTCATGACGTGCTTTGCTGCTATTATTGTTAATGTCTTATTTTGAAATAATTTCAGACTCACATGACGGTAAAAATAGTACTGAGAGCTCTTGTGTATCCATCACCTAGCCTCTCCCAATGGTGACGTCTTATGTATCTGTAGTACATTACCAAACTCAGGAAATTACACTGGCAGAATATAATTGACCAGACTACAGGTTTTCCTCAGATTTTACCCATTTTTGCATGCACTTATATTTTGTCTTTATATATAGTCCGATGACATTTTATCGCATTTATAGAGCCACGTAACACGACCACAATCAATATACAGAATCATCTGTCACCATCAAGGAGCTTCCTCCCAGAGCCCTTGGAGTCACACCCTCCCTCACCTGACCCCAGGCAACCACAGACCTGTGCTCCACCTCTACAACTTTGTCGTCTTAATACTGTTGTAGAAATGGAACCATACGTTGCAGAATCTTGGGGATTGACTTTGGGTTGTTGTTTTTTCCACTTAGCATAATGACCTGGAGATTTGTCCAACTTGTCATGTCTACCAGGAATCATTTGTTCTGCTTGCTGAGTAGTGTCCCTCAGTGTAGCTACACCAGTTTGTTCAACCACTCACGTACTGAAGGACATCTGCGCTTTCTTCCATTCGGGGGCTATTACAACTAAAGCTGCTGTGAACACTCATGTGCAGGTTATTGTTGTTTTTTAATCCTCATCCAAGGGTATTTTTTTAAATTGATTTTAGAGAGAGAGGAAAGGAGAGAGAGAGGGGAAGGGGGAGAGAGAGAGATGTGAGAGAGAAACATCTGTTGGTTGCCTCCTGTACACACCCCAACCAGGGATCACACCTGAAACTCAGGTGTGTGCCCTGACCAGGAATGGAACCTGCAAACTTTTGGCATATGAGAGGACGCTCCAAGCAACTGAGCCACCCGGCCAGGGCATCATATGCAGTTTTTGAGGTGAACCTAAGATTTTGCTTCTCCTGGATAAATGCCCAGGGGTGTGATCCCTGGGCTCTATGGGAAGTATATGTCTAACCCTTTAAGAAACTGCCGATGGGTTTCCAGAGTGGCTGACACACTCACATTCCTACGAGCAACCTCTGAGAGATCCAGTTTCTCCGAATCCTCACCAGCGTCTGGCACCCTGTGTCTGTGCTTTTTATTTGAGCTATTTTAATATCCATTCCTCCTGGCGTTGATTCATCTTTCCCTAATGGCTGGCGATGTTGAGCGTCTTCTCATGGGCCTATTTGGATGGCATGTTTTGACAGCTGACAGGCAAGTCTGAGGTTGCCTCTGATAGGACTCCTGCGTCCCTGACCCTGAGAGCGAGAGCTGACCTGGGCTGCTCCGTGAAATGGGAGTGCTCCCCTTAGCTCTTCCACAAGGAAGAAAGGCACGGTGGGGTGGGGTGGGGTGGGGTGGGGTGGGGTGGTGGTGTGCCGGTTTGACCTCAGTGTCTAGGGGCACAGGCTCAGAGCTGCAGGGAGCTCGGGGCCCCCCTGGGGAGAGGATGTGCAGCTCCCAGCACCGCACCCTCAGGACACTTTCAATAAACATCGGTGCCTTTGGGGGTGGAGTCAGGTGTTGTGAGGAGGTTCTCAGACTGGGCTCACAGGTGGACATAGTGGGAGCCAGTCACGACAGGGTCACAAATATCACCCCCCTTTTGGGAATGTAAAAAGAATCAGAGGGGAAGCTTGGGTTGTCCCAAAAGACCCGTGGTTCCCACCAGCACTCCAAGGGCAGGACCCATATCCATTGTCATGCTCTGCCAGCACCCGTACTCAAGACCTGCCGGTGGTGGGTGAGGACCACCTCCGAGCAGTGACTGGGTCCCCACACCCAGACTCAGCTTCTCCCTGAGGTGGGCTGAGAACATGAAAGTGCTTGAGAACTTCCAAGATCCAGGGCAGGACCTACGAGCCAGAGCCCATGAGGAGCCCGTCTCATAAACCCTGTGGCGGGGTTTGGAGGGAGAGGGCTCAGGTTCACCCCCTAGAGCAGGATTCTAAAGGCAGGCTCTGGCCCTGGCTGGTTTGGCTCAGCGGTTAGAGCGTTGGCCCGCGGACCAGAGAGTCCCGGGTTCAGTTCCCGCTAGGAGCACGTACCTCGGTTGTAGTTTGTCTCCGGCCCCACCCGGGGTCATGCGGGTGGCAACCAGGAGATGTGTCTCTCTCACATTGATGTTTCTCTCTCTCTCTTCCTACCTCTCTCCCTCCCACTTTATCTGAAGACAAATGCAAAAATGTCCTTAGGTGAGGATAAAAAATAAAATAAAATAAAATAAAATAAAATAAAATAAAATAAAATAAAATAAAATAAAGGCAGGCTCTGCAGTCCTGGGGCTCAGAAGGAGCCTCCTGACAGACGCATATCCCAAATGCGTCTCCCAGGGCAATGATGATCCTGTCCTCGTGACCCAAGTCCTCTTCATTGTAACCTATCAACTGAATCATTTAGGCTTACTAAAACAGGATATTCATAAAGTGAAATAAGGGTGTTTCTGACACTCACTGAACAATGTCAGTGTGACCTTGGATAAATTACTTAAAATTTGTTTATTCATTTCCCCACCTGTAAAAAGGGGATAATAATAGTACCAATCAACTTCATTGAGACATTGGAAGGGTTAAAGTGCTTAAAATAGTGCCTGGCTCAGAGCAAGCATTTTGAGGTGCCAGCTGTTATTATGACTAAAACATAAGCAAGGACGCCATGCCCTCTGTAGAGGGTTGGAGTTCTGCCACCGCGGAGGGTGTCTTGACCAGAGCTGGGCTGCCTGGGCGTGATCAGGGCTGCCTGGAGTTGGTAAGTTTCCCCATGGACTTTAATCTTCCTAGGAAATGGTACATTTCTGTTAGTTGAGCTTTATGTTATTGACATCATATGTTGGGAGTGGTTTGGTAAATCCTACAGAATACAGTGCTGTACATTTCTAATAACTTGATTTCAAACCGTCCATGTGTATGGTTCAAACATGGTTCATCAGTGTCCTATCATTAAAGCTGATGTATATATAAATAACAACCCCCCCCCCCAAAGACATTTTACTTTTTCTGACCACGTTGTTGCTGTTACTGAGTTTTCTAAGCGGGACCATCTGGTGAGGGTGGGCTGAAGGGTTTTCAACCTCTCCTAAGTAGGCTCTGGAATATTGGAGACCCCCTGCATGGAGGGCCTGGGAGGGTGGGCCTGTTATTCAGGGTACATGGGGAGTGGCAACAGCCCTCCTCTCCAAGGCACCCCAACTTGGTGGAGTGGCAAGGGTCCATGGGCTTCTTCTGGGGAGCTGGGGTCCTCTAACTCACTCCTCTGCTTCTGCATGGGCCCCAGGAGCATCTGTGTAGAGTGCTCACCCATGAGCACACACACACAGGGCTCAGGACCTCGCTCTGGACATTGCCTCCAGTAACCTTACCTGACTGATCACACCTAATGCTGACCCATCTTATCCTCTGCACTTGAAGATTTGGTATATCTCTTTCCATTTGTTTTTTACTCTGCTGAGGGAACAGAATCCTGGCTGAATCAGAGTGAGTCCTTTCTGTCCAGGCTATGAAAGTAGACCTGACACTTGTACTGAGGCCCATTCACATACATATGCCCATTAGATACAACATACTGCACTGGGTGATTAAGGATGCTAGGTCCAGAGAGGGTAAGCAACTTGTCAGAGGTCACACAGTCAGTCCCAGCCCAAGGAATTCCCCTGTAATTAAGATGTTTGTTGAGCCCTGGCCAGTTTGGCTCAGCAGTTGAGCGTTGGCCTGCGGGCCAGAGAGTCCTGGGTTCAGTTCCCGCTAGGGGCACATACCACCAAAAAAAAAAAAAAGATGCTTGTTGATGTCCTGGCTGGTGTGGCTTAGTTGGTTGAGCGTTGTCTCATGCACTAAAAGGCCGCCAGTTCGATTCCAGCCAGGTTTGGGGCTTGGTCCCCAGTAGGGGGCGTGCAGGAGGCAGCCAATCAATGTTTCTCTTCCAAATTGATGTTCTCTCCATCTCCCTTCCTCTCTCTCTAAAATCAATAAAAAGATTTAATTTTTTTTCCTTTATTGATTTTAGAAAGAGAGAGAGAGGAAGGGAGAGGGAAAGAAAGAACATCGATTGGTCACCTTCTGCATGCCCCACACTGGGGATCAGGCCCACAACCTGGGCATGTGCCTGACCAGGAGTCAAACCAGTGACCTCTTGGTGCAAGGGTCGACATTCAACCACTAAGCCACACCAGCCGGGCAATAAAAAAATGTTTTGCCCTGGTCGGTTTGGCTCAGCAGTTGGAGCTTCGGCCTGCAGACCAGATTGTCCCAGGTTCGGTTCCCGCTAGGGGCGTGTACCAAAAAAAAAAAAAAAAAGATTTTTCTTAGAAGATGCTTGTTGGTAGCCTAACACCTTAACTAGTGAACTAACCTGCCTCTTTTAATGGCCCCTGCAGATGCCAAAGGGACCATCCGGGAAATTGTCCTGCCCAAGGGCCTGGACCTGGACCGGCCCAAGCGGACCCGCACTTCCTTCACGGCCGAGCAGCTGTACCGCCTGGAGATGGAGTTTCAGCGCTGCCAGTACGTGGTGGGCCGCGAGCGCACGGAGCTGGCCCGCCAGCTGAACCTCTCGGAGACCCAGGTGAGAGGGCGTCTGGGCCCCCCTGCCCTGGCAGCCTGGGAACTCCTTCAGTGTGAGAACACCTTTGGAGGAGTTCAGACGTGCACTAGGGACAGGCTTAAACTTCCAGGTAAATCAGAGAAAATAAACTGATCAGAGAGAGTTGGTATATGCCGCGGGGGCGGGGGCGGGGGCAGGGGGGGGTGCTTTAGTACGCATCAGACGATGTGGATGGAATAAGGGGAAAGGCCAGAGAAACCTGGGGGAGGGACGATCAGGAGGCAGGGAGTGGCTGGGGGATGTTGGCCAGTGAGAGAAGATTGCAGCAAGGGATGGTGAGGGGTTGGATTTGGGGAGAAAGAAGAGTTACACACTGGGGCCTCATTTCCCCATTCCATCACCTTCCCTTCATCCCAGTGTGGCTCAGAACCTCTTGTTGGAGAGAAGGGGTCTGAACACCCCCTTCACCCAAGAAGGGCTCAGCATTTTAACAATAATATGCTCAACCCAAAAAAAACTGAGCCCCTACCCGTGTGGACGGAGGCATTTCGAGCTGATGATAGAGCTATGTGATGGCAACAGCAGTGATGATAATACTTACTTAGTACTTGCTTGCGTCAAGGCACTGTTCTAAGTGCTTAGGATATGGGTTTTGTTGTTGTTTGTTTGGTTTGGGGGTTTGCAGCCAAGAAAGTAAGGATTTATTAACAAGCTGGCACCATGCCCATAGTCACAGGCAGCTTGTGTTCAAAGACCTGGCTGGCAGGTGGCTTCCAGGGGATGGATTACATAGGGAAAAAATCATTAGTCGTGAGGACTATAGGGTTAGGGCCGTGGTCTCTCCTGATTGGTTGGTGTGAGGATAAGGGTAATTTGTCTTTGCATCTGGTCCTGATATCAGCCATGGAGTTGTTCTGTCCAATTTCACAAGGATTTTTTTCTGTGGTTCATTCCACTTTCCTGGGTCCAGAGCTAAAACCCAACTGAGGCCAAGATATTATGTTTAGTTTGATTGGAAATCCTGTCTCAGTGGTCACTAAACCCGGGACCTTGTCCTTAAGACTACTGGATGCTGCCCTGGCCAGTGTGACTCGGCGGTTAGAGAGGACTCTGCCGCGGTCAGGGTCATGTGAGTGGCAACCAGTCTGTGTCTCTCTCACATCGATGTTTCTCTCTCTCTCTTCTCCCCTCTCTTCCTCCCACTCTATCTGAAGATAAATGGAAAAATATATATATATCTTCAGGTGAAGATAAAAAATAAATAAAAAGATGCTGGATGCTGACCAGAACCTCACTGTCCTAAGTGCTTAATGATCAAGTAAGGGAGAGGGAGATGAGTGAGTTGGGTGGTAGGTGAGGGCAGTTTGAGTCAAAGCAAAAAATCAAAATAAGCCCGGCCAGCGTGGCTCTGTGGTTGAACATAGACCCATGCACCAAGAGGTCTCCAGTTTGATTCCTGGTCAGAGCACATGCCAGGTTATGGGCCAAATCCCTGGTTGGGGGCATGTAGGAGGCGGCCAATCAGTGTTCTCCCTCATTGATGTTTCTATCTCTCTCTCCTTCTCCCTTCCTCCTTCTCTAAAAATCAATAAAGAACAAAATTTTTAATAAAAGTAAAAGGCCAGAATAAAGAAAATAAAGTTACTACATGGGTTACAATTCTGGATTTATTAATTCACTAATCCCTTCCAACAACCCTTTGATGTAGCTACCAGTATTATCCCATTTTACAGATGAGGAATGATTGTACCCTGAGTCATACAGCTAATAATTTCCAGAGCTGGGGTTTGGAGAAGCGGCCCAGCATCTTTGTGCTGCCCAAAAACTGGGCAGTCAGCCTGGAGCTGGTCAAAGAGCGACTCAGAGACCCTTCGTTTAGCTACAGCTCTAGTAGTTCAGTCTCTTAAATGAGGGAGATCGGTCGACAGATGCATTGCAAACAAGGCCGAAACAGGATTTGTAAAGAGAAGAGAGGAGGAAGAGGTAGGAAGCGAGTAGGCTGGAAGGGTGCCCTTGCTGGGGAGGCTGCGGGAGGGTGGGTGAGGCTTCTCCCTGTACTGCTGGCTTCTGCCCTGCCCTGGTCCCCGGCTGCTGGCTGCTGCCCTTAAGTCTGGATCGCACCACCTCCCTCAGCAGAACTCCTTCAGCTCCTCCGGTCACACTAACAGAATGCTGTCCAGTCCACTCCTCTCGATGGGGCGCTCAGATGTTCCTGGACTTCCTCGGCCTCCTGGGGTAAACCTGGAGTGGGGCAGAAGTGAGAAGGGGCGAGGAGAGAGGAGGAGAAGGCAGGGAGGATGGGGCCTGCTGGACAAGGGCTGCTGTCCCGCAGGCATCGGTCAGTCCTCTCCACCTGGACCTGTTTCCTCCAGAGGCCTCTGTAGAGTCCCCGACAACCCAGCAGGTGGCCCCCGGTAGCTGGGCCCTCCCTCCAGCTGGGCTCAGCCTGGGGCTAGAAAGCCAGGCTGTGCTCACAGGTTTCAGTGGCTGGACCCAGCCAGTGCTCCTGGGGGGACGTCAGGGAGATACCTTCAAACCCTGAAGTCTCAGCACAGAGTCGCCCCTCAGTACCTGCCCCTTCTCTTTGTCCTAATTTTGCCTCACCTAATCTTGCCCCCAAACTCTCCTCCAAAGCTTTGCTCTCTAAGGGCACCTCAGATGCTCAGGCCAGCAGCCCCTTCTCAGTCGGCATCTTTCCCCTGCCCTGCCCGCTACACGCTACATTGACCTGCTTTTGAAGGTCAAAGCCACGCCCCTCCTCTTCCAGGAAGCATTCCCTAAGGCATCTTGACCTCCTCCCAGATGGCTTGACCTGTAAAGTGTGTGTGGTCTTTGTGTGGGTGTGGTGGAGTGTGGTGGGCACCAACCAGTGTCGCTTCCCCAGGACAGGAATGTGCTTGAAGGCCACATCTCTCCAGGCTTCCTTGGGGAGCCTGGCACAGAGCTGGGCACAGAGTGAGCCCCCAAGGAATCCTCACCCTACCGCTCACCTCCCTCCTTTCTCTTTCCCCAGCCCTGGGCTTTTGCAAGTAAGATAAGGCACACCTAACATTTCCCGAGACTCCCTGTGCACCAGCACTGTTCGGAGTGCTTGACTCGTGCTAACTCCTGCAGTCCCTCCTGCAACCCTGTGGGATCCGTGTGAGGCTTCTCTTCTGACACCACTTCCGATACTGGATGTGTGGGGTTTTCCAACACCAACAGCAACCAATTCCCTAGCACCAGCCGGCTGCCCAACAGTTCGGTTCGATCTAATTCTCACACAAACTCCTGCAGTTAGCCCAGACTCTGCAGGTTAAGGGCTCAGCCTCACCGGACAGTCCCGCATCGGATGCCAGTCACAAGTCCCAGGGGCCGGCGTACTTCTGACCGGCTATATATTCGGAGTGCCCACTCCTCCTCCTTAGGTTCGATGATTCGCTAGAATGACTCACGGAACTCAGGAAAGCACTTTATTTACATTTATAGGTTTATTATAAAGGATACAATTCTGAAATAACCATATGAAAAGATGCACAGAGCAAAGTGAGGCCGAGGATCAAGGAGCTTCACACCCTCTCTGGGCCTCCCCCTCCCAGTGTTGCCACGTGACTGTGTTCACCAGCCCGGGAGCGCTCTGGGTCTCACTGTCTAAGAGTCTCTATAACCCAGTCCCCAGCCCACTCCCCTCCCTGGAGATCAGAGGTGGGGCTGAAAGTTCAACCCTCTAATTACATGTTAGATTTTTCTGGAACCAGCTCTATCCTGAAGCTATCTGGGGGCCACTCCGAGTCACCTCCCTTGCATAAACTCAGGTGCGCTCAGAAGGGGCTTGCGATGACGCAGGCAAGACACTCCCATCACTCAGAAAATCCCAAGGCTTTGCGGAGCTCTGTGCTAAGACCCCGGGACGAAAAGCAAATGTATTTCTTATTATACCAGAATGGGTCTGCATGATTTCTGCTTTAAAGAGAAGGAAACTGAGGCACAACAAAATTAAATAACATACTCAAAAATTAAGGTAAGCACATTTATGAGCTCATCTAATTTTTATAAAAAGAACTTAAGGGTAATATTACCATTTCAGAGAGGTTAATTAACTTACCCAAGGTTGGAGAGCTAGAATTCTGTGGAATTCTCAGTATATTCACCCATACTTTTGCTCAAAAATATTATTGCATATGTAGCAGATACTGTTCTAGGTACTGGGGATGTAGCAGAGAACAAAATAGACCAGGGACCTGCCTGAAAATAACAAACAACATTTAAAAGTGATGAGTACTGCCCTGGCCAGTTTGGCTCAGCGGTTAGAGCCCGCAGACCAGAGAGTCCTGAGTTCAGTTCCTGCTAGGGGCATGTACCTTGGTTGCAGTTGTCCCTGGCCCCGGCTGGGGTTGTGTGGGTGGCAACCAGTCGATGTGTCTCTCTCTTTCCTCCTGTTTCCCTCCCGGTCTATCTGAAGATAAATGCAAAAAAAAAAAAATGTCCTGGGGTGAGAATAAAAATAAATAAATTTTAAAAAAAAGTGATGAGTACTGTTAAATAACAAGAATTAAACTGAGTTAGATGTAAAGATCTCATTGGCTTTATTGAATGAGTCATGAGTTGGGCAGCGTCCCATCTGGTAGGGAGAAGAGCTCGGGAGCTTGCGGGAGCTTTCTGCAGGCAGAAGGGGAGAGAGGCGTTGTCACAGGCCTGGGTAGCCTGCCTCCGGGGGGCTGGCGGGGGGGGGGGGCTAGCAAGTGTATTATTCCATTAGTGCTGACCAGGAAATTCTAGATTGACTAAGATCATATTCCTGGGCATGGGAACTGACATCGAATGTTCTAGAAGTATCAGAAGGCCAATGTGGCTAGAGTTGGAGAGTGGTAGAGTAGGTAGGAAGAACAGATATGTTGTGCTTAGAGGTGGAAAGGTGTCGAACGAAAGTGGCACGAGATGATCAGCAGTTTACAGAGGTCACTCTGGCTGCCCCTGGAGAACAGGTGCAAGAGGGAACCAGGTAGGAGCTACTAGATGTTGTCTTGAACAGGGCGGTGGTAGAGGGGAGACGTGAACTGATCTGAGATGTACTCTCATTTGGAGACAGGACCTGCTAGGACTTGCCCGTGGATTACATGCACAGGACTAGGGATAGGGAAGGGGTTTCAGCCTGGACCACTGGGCGAATGATGAGAAATGGTCAGTGATGCTACTTAACAAGCTGAAAAAGTTGGGAAGGAACAAGACAGTGGGAGCAGAATCTAGTTTGTTTTGGATCAGTTACGTTTGAGATCCAAGTGGACACGCCTGGAAGGTATATCAGACACGCCTTCCAGACATCTCTGGGGGCGGGTTCTTCTCTGACTTTTCTGACGATCTTGGTCAGGGCTCTTTGAGTGAAAGGATAAGGAATTTCCTCAAGTGTGCTCAGAATATGGATGGATTCCTAAGGGATAAAAAAGGAGGCTCAGCCATGTGGAAATCCACAAACTGGAACCATGGTGTAGCCGGGCCTGGTAGAGACTGGAATCCAAAGATCGCTGTGGACCCAAGGCTTCCGCTCCAGGCGCCCACAGACCTCCTCTTTCATGCTCTGCTCCATACATGGCCCAACTGCTCTCCGGCCTGCTTTTCTCTGTCTGTCCGCTTCTCTTCTTTTCCTGCTGCCAACCAGAATCTTGATCCTTTTCCCTGGATACCAGGAGGGCCCAGGAGTGGTCCTAACTCAACAGAGAAAGCAGAAGGCTTTGTCATGGCCCATTCAAATGTCTAGTCTCTTCCTTAACTTCTGTGTGCTCTACGGAATCGAGTTGTTCGAACATTTAAATGAGAGCCCATGGAGAGGACGGGTGAACAGGACGGTGAAGCTCTTTCCCCACCACCCACAGAGGTCTGCAGGATGAAGGGTCCTTCTGACGTGGGAACAATGAACAAAGCAGAGCATGGCTGATTTCCATCCACCCTTGGCTGTGCCCAGACCTGAAGCTGGGCAGTGAAGGAAGGTCCTAGAGAGCAGGACGGGCCGAAGAGGGATCTCTCTCTGGGAACTACCAGAAGGACTCTCCACCCACCCCATCCCCCCAGGGCGCATACTTTGTTTCAAGGAGAATGTTTGGTGTTTGATTAAAGCAGTGTTTCTCAAGGTATGGTCTGCAGACCACCTATATGTAGAACCCCTTGGGTTCTCATTAAAATACAGATTCCTGGCTCAGACTCCACACTCAGCCCACAGGGTTCAAGTCAGAATTCCTAGGGAAGACCTGACAACCGTATATATTTTTCAGCTGATGTGGTCACCACACTGCTTAAAAAACTTCAGTATCTGCCAGCACGGTACTAAGTCTATATTGTTAGCTCAGTGAGTCATCACAATGAAACGATGAGGAGGCATTATTATGATCCCATTTCACAGACAGGGAAACCAAGGCACAGAGAGGTTAAATAACTTGTCTCATGTCATCCAACTAATTAAGGGAAGAACTAGAATTGAATCTAGGCTGCCTGATCTCAGGGTCTTCTTCATTTGCTACTCTACCAAAATATCATGCCGTAGAATTTGCTGACCTGTCCATCTCTCCCACTACTGGTGTCTGAGACTCAAGTGGATAGAGATGGAGTTTTATTTATTCTTGTTTTCCCAGCACCTGGCATGTATTAGATGCTTGCTATTTATGTATTGTGTGAATGAATGACCAGAGTACCAGGGTCAGAGCAGGAAACAAGGAAAGAAGCCCTGGCAGGCGTGCTCGGTGATTAGAGTGTCGGCCCTCACACAGAAGGGTCTCAGGTTCGATTCCCGGTCAAGAGCACATACCTGGTTGCAGGTCCGATCTCTGGCCCTGGTCAGGCATCTGCAGAAGGCAACTAATCGATGTGTCTCTCTCACATCAATGTTTCTCTCCTCTCTGTCCCCCTCCCTCCCTCCCTCCTTCCCTTCCACTCTCTCTAAAAATCAATGGGAAAAAATATCCTTGGATGAGGATTAACATACATACATACATACATACATACATACATAAATACTGATGCCTGGACCCTACCCTGTAGAGATTCTAATTTAATGGGTTGGGATGGGGCCTGGGCATCAGGACTTAGGGAAGAAAGGATCCCAGGTAATTCCAAGGTGCAACCAGAGTTTGAATCCCTGACCTAGCCCGTAAGTGCCCAACAAATGGGCATGGCAGACCCCAGCACCTGTGCCATCTGCCCTCTGCCTTCTGTCCTCCCCTTTTAGGCCCTTCTTCCCAAGAGACTCCCACCCTCAGTGCCAGCCTGTGCCCGCCTCGCCCTGCTACACCCAGAGTTGCAAAAGGACAGGGCACGTGGGAGAACTTTGAAAAAGCTTGTCACTCCTCATCAGTCACGTCCCTCCCCTTGTACCTAATTGTCCTTTTTTTGTTGGGACTAGGGAAGTGCCACTCTCCACCTCTCAGCTCCCACGAGCCTGTCCCCCCCAATCTCCCCATTCACCCCCCCATCTCCCTATCCCCCCCCTCGTTCAGAGCTAGAAACAGAGAAGTGAGTGGCGAACAGTAACTGAACAGTAACTGGCACTGAGAGGGGGCTGGGCACCAGGCAACGCCCTCTGCGTGGATTTCCTCATCGGATCCCTACAGCAGCCCAGGTGCTTTTGTCCGCATTTTAAAGATGAGAAACTGCAGCTCCATGTTCTTGGGGTGGTGCCTGGCCTGAGTCCTAAGAGGGCAGGTGCTAGGCAGGCAGAGAAGCCAGGAGGGGAAATGAATGCACAACACACAGTCTGGGTCCTCAGGGATCTGGTGGGACTGCTTCGTGGAGCAGCTGAGTTCGGGAATGACAGAGATAAAGGGTTTTCTTCTCTCCACCCACTGCCTCAGCCAGACGTGGCCATATCGCCCTCGGCCTTTCTGTACCGATGTCTCCTTCAAGTGTCACCTCTCCAGAGAAGCTGTATTTGCCGCTCCACTAATAAAAGTCACCTCCCCTGTCTCCTCCACCCTTAGCCTGCCTCCTTTCTCTAAAGCAGTGCCCCCAAAGTGCGGTCCTTGGGCTGGTGCCAGCCTGCGCACTGTGATCTGTCCAGAAACGGAGAGTAAGTATTTGGATACGTGTAGAGCAATTTTCCTAGTAATTCACTAAATTGTATTTTACAAAAGAACTGGTCCAACAAGACACACTGGAAAACTTAAAGTGGTTCTTTATCCCAAGTAATTTGAGCAACACAGCTGATTGCCACTGACGGTCATCACGTTTGTTTTCATTTGTTGCTGAGTATCTGTCTCCCCTCTGCTCTGTCCAGTCCACACGGCAGTTCATGAGGTGGGAGGGGGCTGATAGGGTCAAACAGGGGGTGGTCAGATTGGACTAGAGAACTCGCTGGAGGCAGCGTCAGAGCCCAGACCGGAGAGGTAGGATCGCCCTCACACTGGGAACCGGCCCCCGCCCTAGGCCCCATGCCTTATAGAGCCCCACTTTGGCCCCCCCGCTGGCCAGGCCCCCCGCCCCCAGAGTGAGGATTCTCTAAGGCCAAGGGATCCTGCCCACCACCAGGAGCCCGTGCCGACCTTCTAGACCACACCCAGGTGTCCAGGATTCCAGAATTCCCTGCCCAGTGGCCCAAGCCCACTTCTGGCACCTACCTGGGCCTCTCCCCACATCAGTCTTCCCCAGGGCAGACCATGCAGCCATTATTCAGAAGCCTAGGCCCATGAAGTGGCCGATGGGGGCTGTCCGCAGAGTGAGAACAGGCTGGGGTGCCCATGCATGGCAAGTCGGAGCCAGGGCAGGCCACGGGCCAAAGCCTCCCAGTTTCGTCCTGCTCCCAGCCCTGCAAATGTCAAGGTTCGGATATGAGGCAGGAGATCTTTAAACAGTGGTTCTCTCACCTTGGGATCACCTGGGGAGCTTTATTATATTTTTATCCTCACCCAAGGACATTTTTCCATTTTTTTTGTTCAGATAGAGTGGGAGGGAGAAAGAGGAAGAGAGAGAGAGAAACATTGAGTGGCTGCCACCCGCACTACCCAACCAGGGCCGGGGACAAACTGCAACTGAGGTACATGCCCTTAGCGGGAACCAAACCCGGGTCTCTCGGGACCACAGGCCAACACTCTAACCACTGAGCCAAACCGGCCAGGGCTCACCTGGGGAGCTTTAAAAGCTCCTGGCATCATGGTCCCAGCCACTCCCATTGGAGGTGGTTGGTCCCAGGTGAGGAGGAGGGAGTTGGGCTCCCCGGCGGCTCTCATGGGTGGCCAGAGTTGAGAGGCACCGCTGGAGAGGTGCTGCCACAGTCTGGGGGAGAGGGGCTGGGGAAGAGAGAGCCTGCCATGGGCCTGCGCTGGGTGTGGGGGGAGGAGGAATAGGGAGGGGACCTTGGGACCTCTTCAGAGGTTTCTGCTTGGTCCGATGGAGGGGCCCCTTCTGGCAGAGGGGAGGTGGGGAGAGGGCCCTGTGCGAGGGAGTGGATCTGAGCCAGGTCCATACATGTGCAGTTTAACAGGCAGTCGAATGAGGCCCGGATCTCGAGTAGGGGAATCACTAGCACATATATGGTGGCTGAGACCATGAACTTGGCTAGGAGTGGAAGACACGTTGAGCCAAGAAGGGAACTTCATTTGTGCCCTCCAAACTCCACCCTCCAGCTGCCAATCCATTCCTCCATCCCAGGCCAGAGTCGGCTTAGCAGTGGAGAGGGTTTCATAATTTGGGGGGCCAGGGTCCCTTATCAGTTCACCAGAGCAGGCTGGTTGGGGGAAGGTCCTAATGACAATCTTAATGCTCTTCTTTCCCCTCTCACTCCACCCTTGCTCCCCCACTCCCCACACCTCTGCACCCCCATGCTCCTCCTCTCCTCTTCTCCTCCCACCTGCCTGCTTTGCCTGCCTGCCCCCTCCCCCTCCCTGACACCTTTGCCCCCCCTACCCCAAGGTGAAGGTCTGGTTCCAGAACCGCCGCACCAAACAGAAGAAAGACCAGAGCAGAGACCTGGAGAAGCGGGCGTCCTCCTCGGCGTCCGAAGCCTTCGCTACCTCCAACATCCTGCGGCTGCTGGAGCAGGGCCGGCTGCTCCCCGTGCCCAGGGCCCCCAGCCTCCTGGCCCTGGCACCTGGCCTGTCGGTCCTGCCTGCCTGCCCCAGGGGCACTTCCCTGGGTGACCCCAGGAACTCCTCCCCGCGCCTCCAGCCGCTGGCCTCGGCCTCCGCGGCCCCTCCGAGGCCCCTGCCTCCCGCGCTCGGCTTCCCCACCGCCCCGCTCCTGGACCTGCCTGCCGGCTGTGAACTGGGCTCCTCGGCCTTCGAGCCCTACAGACCGCCCTCCGGCCGCCGGCTGGAGCGGAGAGCAGGCAGCCCGGGCGGCGCCAGGAAAGCTAACGCTTAAGCCTCCACCCCCGTGTGACACTGTCCCAAGCACAGCACCACCCCGCCTCCCAGGCCCAGGGGAGGTGGGCAGCCACGTGTCCTGCCCCGGCGGCGCCCCCGCGGCCCCCCAGCCCAGAGACTCGACCAGGCCCAGACAGCCCGGTCACGCAGCCTGTGTGTGTGAGTGAGGTGTGCATGTGTGTGCCTCCCACTGAAATAAAAGAAAACAATGACGAAGGGAGAGTCCCCACAGCACCACCTCTGCCCCTGCACCCCTCTATCCCTCTCCTGGCTGAGAAGGAAATTGGCCAAGGTCAGGGGGGTCCCTCTGGGAGGAGGCAGAAACTGGGGCAATGTTCACAGTCGCGGGGGGATGGCTCCCTGGCTCCCTGGCTCCCACTCCCGATTGGAGCTCCCACCTGGGCATTCCCAGGCCCGTGGTAGCAACGTTAGTGCTCCGGTGGGTTAAGCACTGCCCTTTGCAAGCTCCCCTTTCAAACATAAAAATACTTGAGGGGGCAGATGGCAGGTCCTTCAAGAGGGCGGGTCCAGAGAGCCTGAGAGAAGCATCAAAGGTAAACCGGATGAGCCCCTCCTGGTTTAGAAGGCCCACCACCACACACAGCAATAGGAAGCACTTAACATGTGTTCTGCTCAAATTAGAAACTTTTACTTAACTTTTTATTTTGCAATACTCGTAGATTTATAGGAAGTTGCAAAGATAGTCCAGAAAATGCCTTGTACCCTTCACTCAGTTTCCCCCAATGGTCGCAGCTTCCGTGACTATGGTAAAACCTCAAAACCAGGACATTGACGTTGGCACCATGTGCGCAGGTCCGCGTCATTTCACCACTGAGATTCACGGGCCGCCACTGAATCAAGAATCAGAACTGCCCATCACCAGGACATCTCCCGGCGCCAGCCCTTCGTAGTCACGCCCACCCTGCCTCAGCCCAGAGAGCTCTTCGGAAGGATGGCGGGTGTGAGAGAGGGACCAGACCTGAGATGGGCCCCTAGGCCGGAGGATGTGGGGTGAGATTAGGACTCTGTGGGAGAAACAGTCTGCTCCAGTCTGCTCTGGGAAACATATTTCAAATTGTCTGCCCTGAGTCACCCAAAATGGGGTGCTGGGAGGAAAATCCTGAGTCTGGAATGAGACATGTGGGTGACAGGCAGAGCTTGGGTTGGGCAGGTCCATGCACCGCCCCTGTCCACCCTGCCTTGCCCAGCAGACCTGTGTCGCTCGGGCACAGCTCCTTTAGCCACCCAGCACGGGGCGTGTTCCTCCACCTGTACTTGCTGCCTTGGGAGGTCGCCGCTCGGGGCCCTGGAGGTGAACTGTAACATGAGGCAGGGATCCACGATCAGAAGCAGGGAGACTGGCCCTCGTTCTCCGGGAGCTGTCAATACTGTGAGACAGAATGGCTTAAGGAACCCAAGTCTGATGGAGGAGACACAGGCTCAACTCTGGGGGCTCACAGACTAGAGACTGCAGCGAAAGAGAACTCTCCAACAGGATGTGGCTTTTCCTCCTATCTTCTCACTTCTCGCTGGGCTAGTAACCAAATTAACAGAGATTAACAGGAGAAAATGAAATTTTAATACATGCACACTGGGAATTCATATACGCCTACATATTCCAAAGACAGTGGGCAAAATTGGGTATACATGTGATTATGAACAAAGGAGAAAACGGAAGGATGAGGTCTTAGAGTATAAAAGCAGAAGTGGGTGACTTGCTGGTATTTGGGGAAGAGCAGAACACACATGGCAGGTAACTGCTAGGCAACCCAGAAACCAGTGGGACCGGAGGGGGCTTAGGGCGAATCTGATCAACAGGCACTGCTTGGGGTCTTCCCGTCTAATGCTGAGGTTCCCTTCCTGAAGCAGGTTTTCCCATCTGATCTCTTGGGCACAAAAGGGGAGAGGGTCAAAGGTTACTTCTGAGTCTTTTGTTTCTTAATAGCCAGCTTAAAATTAATATCCCAAAAGGCAGCTTTATGGTGGCAGAATTTTGGTTCCCTTCAAGGGCATGACATAGGAAAGAGACCAGACATGTGGTGAGTCCAGGATGCTGGAGGATCCAGGGAAGGCTTCCTGTAGGAGGTGGCACTGAAGCTGACCCAAGAATGATCCCCCATAGGTGTTCAAAAAAAAAGATGACAAATGAAATTGTGCAGGGGAAGAAGTGCCCCGGTACGGTCAGGGAAAGGGTGCAGGGTGAGGGCAGGTTGCGGGTGGGGACAGTGAAGAGAAGATCTGAGGTCGAGGCGGGGGGTGGGGGGAAGACTAGGAAGAGATATGGTGAGGAGCATGGGGCTGAGAGAGCACCTGAAGTTCCAGGGGGAGGAAATAAGTTCACACCGGCTGCAGGTTGGGGTAGAGGAACAGAGGTGAGAGAAGCCAGCCAGGCTCCTCTGCCCCGCCCCTCCCCCATCCTCCTGCTTCAGGTGGCCTAAGCACCTCCCAGATCTGGAATTGCTCCAGAAAACCAAGTTTCCCTGTTTACAGTTGACTAGGGGGAGAGAGGAGGGAGGGGAGGAGAGCTGCAGGGGCAGGCTGGTCAGCTCCAGCTGGACCTGGAGTGTTGGAGCCGCGTCAGAAGGCTCAGTGCTCTGCTCCCAGCGAGACACCTCACCATGGCCATGGAGGTGGACAGTAGGCCTGGGGGGCTGCCCAGCAGTGGTTGCGACATGGGTGCAGCTCGCGAGCACATGCAGGCGGTCACCCGGAACTACATTACCCATCCCCGTGTCAGTGAGTATGACCCCCACGGGTGAGGTTGGGTGGGCCGCTGGGTCCTCAGGCACTGCTTTGTGGCGGCAGGGGGAGAGGGGGACCAGAGAGCTGGGGTGACCTTCAGGGGATTAAGTCCAGTGGAATGATGCCATAGGCTGCCAGGACAAGGGGCCACCTCTGCAGACGGAGAGAGGGGGGTCCCCCCAGGTTACTCCAGAGGAGAGGGCAGGGGAGCAGTTGCAGGAACGTCCCTGTCATCTCTCTGATCCTGCATGGAGACCCACAGTCCAGAGAGAGCTCCCGACCGCCCTGAGAGTGTGTGTCTGGTGCATGTGTGCGTGTGCATGCTGATATGTGTGTTTGGGGTGCGTGAACACTCAGCATGAGGAAATGTATGCTCAAGTGTCCCTGGGCATGTCTAGCAATGCAATCTGTGTGCATCCTCCGGGTGGGGAATATGTGACACTGTCGTACCCACGGTGTGTGCCGTGTGTGTGTTCTGGGGAGCATGTCTGTGTGTATAACCAGGGGACAGCATGTGCCTGGGTGTGCTGTTCCCATCCTCACTTGGGTGAGGATATGTGTGAATGTGTGTGACAGCTTGAGTGTGTGCATGATCAGAGTGAGGAAATGTGGGTATATTTGTCTTTTTGGACAAAGGAAAACAGGGAGAAACTGTGTGTGGCTTGTACACTCAGGACGAGGGTGTGTGTGAATGCATGTGTGCTCAAGCATGCATGCTTGGGGAGAACATGGTGAGTGTGTGGCAGGTGGTGTCACATGCCTGTGTGTGTGCAGTGGGGGACGGGCTGAGCTCCTTGCATCAGGTGTGTGCTGGAGTGCACCTTTGCAGGCTTCAGAGAGTGTGGCCCTGGAGTGGCCCGGGTGCCTGTCCTGCTGGGCCAAGTCCAGATGTCTGGGGCAGAGAACCCGCTAGGGCCTGAGGACCAGAGGGAGCCTCTGTCCCTGCCATCTCTCCTAGTCCAAGGTCACTCTCCCTGGCCAGGGTGGGGAGTTCTCAGACCGCCAGCCCACTGGAGTAAACCGGCCTGGCCGGCACTAGCTAAGCAGAGCCAGAGGCTGCTACCAGGGTGTGCACGGGAGAAGCTGGCCCGCTCAGCCACCCCGCCCTCCCTCTCCTGTTGCACAGGCCAATGGAGGGAGGAAGAGCGACCTGGGAGGGCAGCTGAGACTGAGCCTGCACTCGGGGTGGAGCCCCAAGGCCGCAAGAGGTGTATGTGTGTGTGTGGGGGGGGGTCACCTCCTTCCTCCTCAGGCCCCACGGGCACAGAGGGGTGGAGCAGATTCCAGAGAAACAGGAGTGGTGTCAGGTTGACCAAGGTGGCACTACAGGCCTTGCCAGCCCTCCCTGTGGGGGTGCAGGGAAGACGAAGGCCCAGATCTGTCCCTGGGGCAAAGAGGGGGTCCCCAAGGCCCAGAAATATGCAATGACTGAGCCCGCTTGGGTCCAGAGCCCAGGACCAGAGACCTGAGACGAGTTGGCTGAGTCTTGTCCAGTCCCCTCGATGCCCCCCCCCAAGATCCTCCCCGCCATCCCTCCTCCCTGTGGGAGCAGGAGAGCTGCCAGGGTCCTGAGTGGGCTGTGGGTCTGGAGTCTGGACCTACATGCTTTGCTCTCCTTCTCCCTGGAATGTACCCTCCCAGGAGCCCTGCAGACTACACCCCGTCCCCAGCCAGTTCCCTGCCAACCAGTCCCTTATTTATAGTCAACAAGCCCTGGGTCAAGTTTGACCCAGGCTGGGACCCAGGGGTGGCAGCAAGTCCCCCCCACCCCGGGTTCACAAGCGTGTTGCCCCATGTGGCCCCCACCCAGACAAACGTGTTCACACACAGCTGACCCAGAGGCAAGGGTTAGTGTAGGGGGAGCCCCTTCAGCCTCCACAGTTGTGTTAAAGATGTTACTGCAATGACAAAGGCCACCGCCTGCACTGCTGCAGCACACGTGTCCCCAGAATCCCCACAGGATATCGGGGCCAGCCCCAGCCCAGCCTTGACAGCCACCCACCCCCAGGGCCAGCAGGGTTCCCCACATGCTCTCCTGCATCTTCACCAACTCCCTCCTTTCCTTCTCCAGTGCCTGAGGGCTTTTCTCCCTGGGGGCGTGTGCACAATCCAGAGCTGCTGCCCTCCTTGTAGGCCGGGATGGACTCCCGGTGTCCCTCTCTGCCCTCCTCCACCCCAGTGTCCCTCTCTGCCCTCCTCCACCCCCTGTCAGTGTCCCTCTCTGCCCTCCTCCACCCCGGTGTCCCTCTCTGCCCTCCTCCACCCCATGTCTAGCCTGGGGGAGGAGGGGCTCTAAGCACTTCCAGGCAGGAGAATTTTTGTGTAGAGACCGAAAGAGCCTAGGAGGAGGGCAGCTGGCTCCCAGCCCCAGGGCTCACTGGGC